CTTAAAACTGCTAATCCTGCCTGGTCTGGTGGCTTGTACCTGTAATCCCAGCACTTTGGGAAGCTGAGGCAGGAGGACTGCTTGAGTCCAGGAGTTTGTGATCAGCCTGGCCAACACAGCAAAACCCCGCCTTAACAAAATATACAAAAATTAGCCAGGCGTGGTAGCATGCACCTATAGTCTGAGCTACTCCGGGGGGCTACAGTGGAAGGATCACTTCAGCTTGGGAGGTCAAGTCTGCGGTGAGCTGAGATCACACCACTGCACTCCAGCCTTGGTGACAGAGCAAGACCCTGGCCCCAAATAGCAGAAACAAAAACAAACCTACTAATCCCCTAAATTGTCTTTACTGTTGGAGGAAATGTAAATTTGCACACCTGGTTTCCTGGATGGCAGTTTGACACTCTGAAAAAGATTGTCTTTGTCTTGTGTCCACGTAAGAGCCATAAATCTTATGGGGCTATCCAATACGCTTTCAGAAATTTAGGTATAAGGATGTTTCAAACAGGAATATTTATGATTTAAAAAAATTTAGAAAGATGTCTTTCCATATGTATACCCTGCATTTCTTTTCCTTTTCTTTCTTCTTTCTTTCTTTTTTCTTCCTTTTCTTTCATTTTCTCTCTCTTCCTCCTTTCCTTTGCTTGTTTTTAAACTGTGCTCTTGAACATAAGGACAGAAACTGATTAAAAGTATTTTTGACCCCTTTCTCCGATAACATCTCAGACACCATCTTAGAATAGAATAGTACTTATTTTAATAAAATTATATTAGAAACTTAGAGAAAACATCATATATAATGGAAAAATTCAAAACTATAGGTTATGCCTGTAGCCTTTCTTCAAGATTAAAAAAAAAATCTCGTGTTGGAAATTGTGATCCTCTCATTTGTTCAAAACTTGTTTATTTCTGTTCTTTGTTTTCTGTTGTTCACAGCTGCTAAAGGACATTTGTTTTTGGTGTTATGCTAGCCTCCCAAAATGATTTGACATGATTTATCATTTTTAGAGGCTCTTGGAAGGTTTTAATAAGATAGGAAGCACTGGTTTCCTGATGAATTTACATCTTGTCAAAACAAAAAAGAAGGAACTTTCAACACTGTTGGGGTCAGAACATAATACTCTAAAATATGGCACCTTGGAATGCTGAGGACTTTGAACTGAAGAAAATTGTTAGGGCCTTAGAAACAAGGTCTTCTGGATCTTCTGCAATCCACTGCCCTGTACTCTGCAGCCAGATGAGTCAAAGAAACTGAAATCCTCTCCTAAAGCAAACCATAAAACCTAGAAAGCTCATTCACTGACCTTTTCCCTTCTTCCTGATAGACCTTCATATGACAGGTGCTTGCCCTATATTTAGAGAGAAGGAACGCTACACAGAGGGACCAAGAAGAATTCAAAAATATAGACCTTGCTGAGTCCCCCCCGCCACTGCCCATTGATTACTATTAGGTCATAATGTTTTATTCCAATTCTAGTTCTTCACATTTATTCATTTCTTTCATTTGACTTAGCATAAAATCACAAGTTTTCTCTGGGCTTTTCTCTTGCTTACCTCTTTGTTTTAGAAGCATCAGTCATTCCCCTTATGATGAATATGAAAAATGTATTATCTTTTTGCCCCTATAACATCATGTGCTCCTGAATTGGTACCTATGTCCAGCATAAACTTGGACCACTGCCAGGCTCAGCTTCACCTGTGCTCCATGAGGCTCATTTCCTCACAGCGCTGTCATCTCTGCTCACATGGCACCTCACCAGCATTTCCTTTCCAGACTATCTTGGGTAAGATTACACCCTCATCTTCACAGTCCTCATTGTCACTTAAAGTGCTACCTAATGGTAGCACATAATTAAGTTGTTTCTAAGTCTGGTTATTATCTTTTGTCATACTAGATATACATTCATATGACAGCTTTGCTCTCTGGTTCTCTGAACTGTTCTGAGAGAAGTGTCTTGAGTAGGGTAAATTACTAATAAATATTTGCTGAACGGATGAATTCTTAGGCAGTAAGATGCAACTGAAGTGAGAATAGCAAGAATGGGAATTAATTGACCCAATTCTGGGATACCATCTCATCCTAGCTGATCTAGAACAGAAGGCTGGGCCTCACCTTCAGAATCTCTGATTCAGTAATTCTGAGTTAGGACCAAAGAACTTGCATTTCTGATAAGATCTCTAGTGAACCTCTTGCTTTTCATTAAGGGACCACATTTTGACAATCACTGATGTAGAAGAACACTTGGCATTAATAAAGTCTTATATCATTCAAAATTATTAGAATAATTATTGTTATTTAGAGACAGGTCTTCCTTTAACATTCAGGTTGAAGTGCAGTGGTGTGATCATGGCTCACTCAGCCCTGAACTACTGGGCTCAGGTGATCCTTCCACTTCAGCCTCCGGAGTAACTGTGACTATAGGTACATACCATCATGCCTAATTAATTTTTTATCATTAGTAGAGATGGGGTTTTTTCATGTTGTGCAGGCTGGTGTCAAACTTCTAGACTCAAGTGATCCTCCAGCCTCAGCTTCCCTAAGTGGTGGGATTATAGATGTGAGCCACTGTGTCTAGCAAAACTATATATTTTAAACAAGCAAATTATTTAAACTCTTTGTTAAATCAATTTAAATCTCTTTAAGAATCGGCAATGATTTATTCAAGGTTGTAATCCTTCAGAGTTACTTTATATTGGATAACTAATCAAAATCAATATTATACCATAATTAGGATACTAAGTCAACTCAAGTATAATAGAGGTGGTTATATGTACAATGCTGCTTGTTTTCTAAGGGAGAAATATTTTTATTTTTGATGAGTATTAAAAATACTGTGCTAAAATGCACCTAAAATTTACCCTCATAACAATTTTAAATATACAATTCAGTTAAGTCCCTTCACATTGCTGTGCAATCAATCTCCAGAATTTTTCACCCTTGCAAAATTGAAATTTTATATTCATTAAGCAATAACTCCCCATTTCTCCCTCTCCAAGCTTGTGACAACTACCATTCTACTTTCTGTTTCTGTGAATCTGACTAATCTAGATACTTGGTATAATTGGAATTAACCAGGATATTTCATTTTGCATCTGGATTATTTCACTTGGCATGATGTCCTCATGGTTCATGCATGTGAACCATGTAGCATGCTTCACAGTTTCCTTTCTTTTTAAAACTTAATAAGGTTTCATCACACACACACACACACACACACACGCATACATATACAAATAGACACACACACACATATACACACACACACACACACATTTTGCTTGTCTTTTCATGCATTGATGGACATGTGGGTTCATTCCACTTCCACCTTTTGGCTATCATGAATAATGCTGTTATGAATATGTGTATACTAATATATTTTGGGGATCTTGCTTTTAATTCTTTTGGCAATATATCCAGAAGTGGGACTGCTGGATCATATAGTAATTCTATTCTTCAGTTTTTGAGGAAACTGACATACTCTTTCCTAGAGTGACTGCACCATTTTATGTTCACACTAACAGTGCAAAAGGGTTCCAATCACTCTACATTCTAGCCAATATTTATATCCTGCACTTTTTAATAGTACTCAGAGGAAAGGGTGTCAGGTGATATCTCCCTGGGTTTTGACATACATTTTCCTGGTGATTAGTGGGGCACAATGCTACTTTTAAACTGGGTTCTGATTCAGTACAGGAGTCCTGTGGGCCAGAGAGCACATCAGGGCAGGGCCACTATCAACCAGACCTGACTTGACTCATGTGGGTCCTCGCTATTTTTAAAGATTTCCACATTGTGTGATGTACATATCACCAAGCCCCTTATCTCCCATTTCCCTGAGAATTCCTTTCCTAAATTTGTTTTCCTCACAATTCACTCATTAGCAGTATTTTATCTCTTAAGATTCAAATCAAAATTTCTTTTTAATTTTAGATTCTAGGATGACCTAGATTTTTCTTCTGTTGTCTCAGATCCCTTCACTTATAGCCTTGTTTTATTTGGTCTCTTCTAGTTGTCATTTCTATCAATGTCTCCCTCAATCGATATTATGCAATCTTAGGTTAGATACAGGTATTTTTCTTCTTTCATCCTTCCAGAGTTCTATAGTTTGTTAGGTACATAGTCAAAGATGAATAGGTGTTTTAACATCTGTTACACAGTATATATTAGTGTTATATGAACCAGACATCCTAAAATGTTATTAGCTGGCCTTCATGGATCCTGAGTACTGTACCCAAAATTGAACTTCATTTAATCTGAATAAAATGAAATCAGACTATTATAAAGCATGTGAAACCCAGTTTGGCTGACTAATTCCATTCAAACTGGGAACTTTTTTTATTAATAAAAAAATGGAGTAAAGCTAAATCTGACGAATTTCTTTTTATTGTTATACCTTTGCTACTTATATTTTATTTTCTTAAAATGATGTCCCCAAACCCAGAACAGAGTCAGATTACTATGTTATTTTAAAATATAGTATGTAGTTATTGTACATTCATTGTTTCTTTTCTTGGTGACTGTTACCCTTGCCAACTTTACAGCATGCAAAGATGGCTATTCATATAACATCTCTCCCATTATATCCAGGTCACAAAATAATATTCTCTCTAAGACAAACATCACATTATCATAAACTAAGTGGCACAATATAAGAGCTATTCTAACATTGTATTCTAAAAGAATTGCTTTGAATCCCAAGTGCTTAGAGAACAAATAAATGTATCTGCCTATAATTTTCAATCAGTCACTCAATTGTTCACAGAAGTAGTTGACAGTATAAGTACCCTGTATGCATTTTCAGAGGAGGGGAGAAAACAGAATTTGAGGCTAAGGTGCCTGACAGGTTGATTGAGAGCACCAGGGTCCTTTTGTTTTTCAAACATAATTGCAACAGCTCTATTATGTAATAGAACAATGATTTTCAAAGATGATAATGAACACATGCAGTAGCAAAAATAAATCAATAAATCCATTTAAAAAATCTTCTCAGTGTTCTTACTTGGAGGCAGATCTCGCATTTTGGGAATATAAAAGCACTCCCTGAAGTGCCTCAGCTTATCTTCCTCATCTAGGTAGAGAGCGACCCTTTCATCCGTTGGGTGGCATTTAAGTTGAGCCGCAATGCGCTGTACTGTGTCAGCCGGCAGCTCAAGAGATGAAGGCTCCATTACAAGTTGTTCTCTTAAACTGAAATAGAATAATAAAACATAATCTAGACACCATCATTTTCCTGTGGAAAAGAGCCCTTTAGACTTCCTTTTTCCCAACCTCAGAAATAATATACATAACCAACCAGCATTAAACCCCATGCATGAGTTTTTCTCATGTATTAAAAAAAAAAAAGAAAGAGGAGGAGGAACTCAAGATGATACGGTGAGAACAACCCAGGATTGAAGCTCTTGGTGAACATGCGGAGGGTGAGTCAGGGCTGCATTTCCAGATGGATCTTTGTTGCCCACAGAACAGGGAAATACCCAGGTACAAAAGAGATGCAGGATGCCAGGCAGAGGTTTTGGCTGGTGCAGCCGGTAGCCGGTGCAGCCAGCAGCCAGTGCTGTAGCACAGCGGCACTCCACAGCGCTCCGCACAAGGCACACTGGTCCAGGTGCCCTGTTGAACCGGCAATCTGAGACTTCAGAGGGCATATTGGCATATCTATCTGACTGAATGGGACTTGGACAGTGAGCCAGGCCAGAAGATTCCAGGGAAACCGTGTTTGGGGTAGCGCAGTGGGAAAAACAAAATGGCAATTCCAAACGCTCCGGATGGAGAGTTTCACTGCGGGCAAAGCTGAACCCAGGATGGTGCAGCTCGGTGGGGGAGGGGCGTTCATCATTACCGAGGCAATCCGCCCCTACTGAGGTATACGCCGATCGCTAACGCAGCCTGCTGTTGCCCAGGCAACCCATCACAACAGAGAGACTCCGCCACAGGGTAGCAGGGCAGAGACCGCAGCAGCAGGGCAGAGCCTGCAGCAACTGGGTGAAGCTCACACCAGCAAGCGGAGCCTCGGCAGGCAAATAGTGACTAGACTGCCTCCTAGCTGGGCAGAACAGCGCAATGGACACTCTCAGAGAAAGCCCCAAACCCTCGAGACAGAGCATCTGAGAAAAAAGGGTCTTTTTTTTTTTATGAGTTCTGCTGAAGCAGAATTAAACATAGCAGCCTAACAGCCCTGAATGAACAACAGAGCTCACAGCTCAGCACTCGAGCTCCTATAAAGTACAGACTGTCTCCTCAAGCAGCTCCCTGACCCCTCTATATCCAAAAGACTGACATTTGGCAGACATCATTCTGGGACAAAGATAGCAGAAAAAGAAACTGGTAGTATCCCTCACTGTTCCACAGCTGCTATGGGTGCACCCCAGACAAGCAGGGCCTGGAATGGAACTCTGCAGTCACACAGTGGAGGGTCTAGACTGGTAGCAGGAAAACCAAGTAACAGAAATACTTTATCATCAACAATCTGGGAGTCCACTCAGAGACCCAATCGAAAAGTCAGCAACTACACAGATGACAGGTGGATAAATCTACAAAGATGGGAAGAAACCAGTGCAAAAAGGAGGAAAACACCTGAAACCAAAACACTGAGACTCCTACAAAGGACCAAAACTCCTCACCAGCAAGGGAACAAAGCTGGACGGAGAATGACTGTGACAAAATAACGGAATTAGACTTCAGAAGGTGGATAATGAGAGATTTTGTGAGCTAAAAGAACATGTTTTAAATCAATGCAAAGAAATTAAGAACCTTGAAAAAAGATTCGAGGAAATGATAACAAGAATGGATAACTTAGAGAGGAATATGAATGAATTAAAGGAGCTGAAAAACACAATTCGAGAACTTCGCGAAGCATGCACAAGTTTCAACAGCCGAATTGACCAAGCAGAAGAAAGAATATCAGAAGTCAAAGATCAACTCAATGAAATAAAATGAGAAACCAAGATCAGAGAAAAAAGCGCAAAAAGGAATGAACAAAGTCTCCAAGAAATGTGGGACTATGTGAAGAGACCTAAACTACGTTTGATAAGTGTACCTGAATGTGACGAAGAGAATGAATCCATGCTGGAAAATACTCTTAGGACATTATCCAGGAAAATTTCCCCCACCTAGCAAGACAGGCCAACACTCAAATGCAGGAAATACAAAGAACATCACAAAGATATTCCGTAAGAAGAGCAACCCCAAGGCACATAATCATCAGATTCAACAAGGTTGAAATAAAGAAGAAAATACTAAGGGCAGCCAGAGAGAAAGGTCAGATCACCCACAAAGGGAAGCCCATCAGACTCACAGCAGATCTCTCAGCAGAAACACTACAAGCCAGAAGAGAGTGGGGACCAATATTCAATGTCCTTAAAGAAAAGAACGTTCAACCCAGAATTTCATTTCCAACCAAACTGAGCTTCATAAGTGAAGGAAAAATAAAATCCTTTGCGAACAAGTAAGTACTCAGAGATTTTGTCACCACCAGGCCTGCTTTACAAGAGCTCCTGAAAGAGGCACTACACATAGAAAGGAATGACCAGTACCAGCCATTCCAAAATCACACTAAATGCTAAAGAGCATCAACATAATGAAGAATCTACATCAACTAACGGGCAAAACAGCCAGCTAGCATCAAAATGGCAGTATCAAATTCACACATGACAATATTAACCCTAAATGTAAATGGACTAAATGCACCAATCAAAAGACACAGACTGGCAAATTAGATAAAAATCCAAAACCATCAGTGTGCTGTATCCAGGAAACCCATCTCACATGCATGGATACACAAAGGCTCAAAAGAAAGGGATGGAGGAAGATTTACCAAGCAAATGGAGAGCAAAAAAAAAGCTAGAGTTGCAATTCTTATCTCTGATAAAATAGACTTTAAAGCAACAAAGATCCAAAGAGACAAAGACGAACATAGCATAATGGTAAAAGGATCAATCCAACAAGAAAAGCTAACGATCCTAAACATATATGTACCCAATACAGGAGAACCCAGATACATAAGGCAAGTTCTTAATGACTTACAAAGAGACTTAGACTCCCACACAATAATAGTGAGAGACTTTAACACTCCACTGTCAATATTAGACAGATCAACCCGACAGAAAATCAACAAGGATATCCAGGGCTTGAACTCAGGCCTGGAACAAGCAAACCTGATAGACATTTACAGAACTCTCCACCCCAAATCCACAGAATATACATTCTTCTCAGCACCACATCACACCTACTCTAAAATTGACCACATAATTGGAAGTAAAGCACTCCTCAGCAAATGCAAAACAACTGAAATCATAACAAACAGTCTCTCAGACCGTAGTGCAATCAAGTTAGAACTCAGAATTCAGAAACGAACTCAGAACTGCACAGCTTCATGGAACCTAACAACTGGCTCTTGAATGTTGACTGGATAAACAATGAAATGAAGGCAGAAATAAATAAGTTCTTCAAAACCAATGAGAACGAAGACACAACATGCCAGAATCTCTGGGACACATTTAAAGCAGTCTCTAGAGGAAAATATATAGCAATAAGTGCCCATATGAGGAGAATAAGTGCCCATATGAGAGATCCAAAATTGACACCCTATCGTCAGGATTGAAAGAGCTAGAGGAGCAAGATCAACAAAACTCAAAACCCAGCAGAAGACAAGAAATAACTAAGATCAGAGCTGAACTGAAGGAGATAGAGACACGAAAAACCCTTCAAAAAATCAATAAATCCAAGAGCTGGTTTTTTGAAAAGATCAACAAAATAGACAGATCACTAGCCAGATTGATAAAAAAGAAAAGAGAGAACAACCAAATAGATGCAATAAAAAATGATAAAGGGGAAATCACCACAGATTCCACAGAAATTCAAACCATCATCAGAGAATATTAAAAACAACTCTATGCACATAAACTTGTAAACCTGGAAGAAATGGATAAATTCCTGGACTCCTGTGTCCTCTCAAGCCTAAACCAGAAGGAAGCTGAAACTATGAATACACCATTAACAAAGTCAGAAGTCGAGGCAGCAATTAAGAGCCTACCACACAAAAATAGCCCAGGTCCAGAGGGGTTCACAGCCGAATTCTACCAGACACACAAAGAGGAGCTGGTACCATTCCTTCTGAAACTATTCCAAATAATCCAAAAAGAGGGAATCCTTCCCAAATCATTTTATGAGACCAATGTCATCCTGATACCAAAACCCGGCAGAGACCCAACAAGAAAAGAAAACTTCAGGCCAATATCCATGATGAACATAGATGCAAAAATCTTCAATAAAATATTGGTAAGCCGAGTGCAACAGCACATCAAAAAACTTATCCATCATGATCAAGTAGGATTCATCCCGGGGATGCAATGCTGGTTCAACATACACAAGTCTATAAACGTAATTCACCACATAAACAGAACCAAAAACAAAAACCACATGATTATCTCAATTGATGCAGAGAAGGAGTTCAACAAAATTCAACAGCCCTTTATGCTAAAAACCCTCAATAAACTCGGTATCAATGGAACGTATCTGAAAGTAATAAAAGCTATTTATGACAAACCAACAGCCAATATCATACTGAATAGGCAAAAACTGGAAGCATTCCCTTTGAAATCCGGCACTAGACAAGGATGCCCTCTGTCACCACTCCTATTCATTATAGTACTGGAAGATCTAGCCAGAGCAATCAGGCAAGAAAAAGAAATAAAGGGCATTCAAATAGGAAAGGTGGAAGCCAAATTGTCTCTATTTGCAGACAACATGATAGTATAGCTAGAAGACCCCATCGCCTCAGCCCAAAACCTCCTGAAACTGATAAGCAACTTCAGCAAAGTCTCAGGATATAAAATCAATGTGCAAAAATCACAAGCATTCCTCTACACCAATAACAGACTTAAAGAAAGCCAAATCAAGAACGTACTGCCATTCACAATTGCTACAAAAAGAATAAAATACCTAGGAATACAACTCACAAGGAACGTAAGGGACCTCTTCAAGGAAAACTACAAACCACTGCTCAACAAAATCAGAGAGGACACAAACAGATGGAGAAACATTCCATGTTCATGGTTAGAAAGAATTAATATCGTGAAAATGGCTATACTGCCCAAAGTAATTTACAGAATCAACGCTATCCCCATCAAGCTACCATTGACTTTCTTCACAGAACTGGAAAAAAGCACCATAAACTTCATATGGAACCA